ACTAAAGAAAGAAAACAAAAGAAGGGGAGATGATATAAAGAATTACTGTTTTAGGAGATGGTTTCTCACAACTTCAGTGAGGAAATAAATACAAGTTTGCGTTACATTTTTATATTTGATTTTTACAATTAATTTTGTTTGAGTTTGGTATCGTGGTGTTGTTGAAAAAAAAAAGAAGGAAAGTCCCCCCCGGAGTAGCAGTTCTGTCCCTTGGTCACCTCTTTGTGGGCGTGGGTTGAGTGAGCGAAGGTCCGGGGAATGTCTGCACTTCTGAAGGGTCACGTCTCTGCTACCTCATGAATTCTTTTGTGTGTGTCAAGGTTGTCGCAGGTTCGAGTCCTGTTTCTATCAGTCTGCCGTGAACCGTGTGAAAGGTGTTTCTATATATGGAGACCAAAAGATTAATGAATGAATTAATTAAGAAAAGGCAAAGAATGAGGTACTGACGTCTTGAGCTCTGTCCGAAGACGTTGGTGAAGGTAACGGGCACCGGGTTTATCGGATTAACGTCTGAAACAGAAATGAAAAAAAAAAAAAAAAAAAAAAAAAAAATTAATTGCTATTGGTCGATGATAAGTGCTGGGGAAGTAGGCTGTGCTGTGATGCTTTCTCGTGGACATTGCGCCAGGAGCATAGTTTACCGAATACTTTAAGCTTAACGAGATAGCGTGTGACCGCTGGCTCCTAATGGTGGGAGGAGTCGTTGTATGGGTCTTTTTGTTGGGAAGCAAAGTTGAAAATGTGAGTGTAATATGTTGAGACAAAGGCCCTACAGAAGTTGTAGAATCTCCTGGACATTGTAGCAAACTGGTCAGCAAATTGGTCATCAGACTGATGATGTGTAGAACTGGTCAGCAAATTGGTTATAATCAGACTGATGATGTGTAGAACTGGTCAGCAAATTGGTTATAATCAGACTGATGATGTGTAGAACTGGTCAGCACATTGGTTATAATCAGACTGATGATGCGTAGAACTGGTCAACAGACTGTTGTGTAGAACTGGAGTGACCCGACGGGGCCCAGAGTGAAACAAATGTTTTTGCTGTCCGGCATTGTCCATGTACATACGATGGTGTTAACCCCCCCGTGTCAGTTGAAGATGCATGATGCTCATAAGAATTCCATGTTTATTGTCATTTACTTTTCAACTTTTGATACTATTGTGTATTGATGCGATGCGGTCGAGACCATGGTAGGAGAAGCTACAACGTATCCACGGAAAGATGTAATATCATTTTGTTTTGTTGTTTTTTTTTCTGTTGATTCTGTTTCGTATTTTGAGCCCGGCGTTCTCTTGCACTGCCCTCCGTGTTCCGTTTGCACAGGCAAAGAAAATGAGCAGGGAAGAGCTGTGGTGTTGTGCCACAAAATGGCTTTGGTTCGTGGCTACTGAAACCACACGTGTAGGTGAAGAAACAGCCTCCGCTAACAATCCAAAATACGAACGGGTCGTTTTCGAATTTAAAATGATTGTGTTCGTTTATGTGAGGTCTGGTGGTGTTTTTGATAAGTCGTTTCCTTTGACGTTATATTGTATTTCTTTCTTGGGTGAATTGATGATGACTTGCTCTGAGAGTCGGATGTGTTTTTTGTTTGTTAGTTATTAATGGCAGGAGTCGTTTGTACGTACGTAGGGCCTGCCTATATACTCACAACTTGTTCAGTGATGACTGATGATTCAATTTAGAGACATTATTTGTCGTCATTGTTTTACCATCATAATCAGGGAACATCTCTGTTTTTTTTGTTTTTTTCATTTGTCAACTTTTTATTATTTTTTTTCTCTCTGAATCAAATTGTTTTTATATTATGAACAAAGAGGTGTACATCTGATGTGACCTAGATAGGTAAAGACTGACGCCCACAGAGCCTGAGATTTAATAATCAGTTGAACTTTTTTGGTTGTTTTTTTTTCCCTGATGATCAGATTCAGGGGAGGAAAGAAAATAGTTAGATCTAGTGCAAACTTTTCCCACAGCTAGATCTAGTGCAAACTTTCCCACAGTTAGATCTAGTGCAAACTTCCCCGAAAGAAGGAGCTAGACCGTCCAATAATCAGGGACAGAAGAAGCAAAGACGAGTTGTGCATACTTTACTGTCTGATGGAAGAGTGAAGCGTCGGTGGTGGAAGCTGTCAGTGATTTACGCTCAAGTCTTTGATGACTGTTGTCTGGCCAGGGGTGGAATCGAAGGATGTTGGGATGAGTATATCTTTTAAAAAAACTGAAGACTGAAGAAAAAATGTTGTCAGGTTTGGGAAGAGGAACAAAGGGAGATAACGGTAGGAGGTATTGGTATCTGTGTACTGTAGCAGGTCACAGAGCGTCAAAACGAGGTCGGAGAAATTGGTATCTGTGTACTGTAGCAGGTCATAGGTCACAGAGCGTCAAAACGAGGTAGGAAGTATTGATTGGTATCTGTGTACTGTAGCAGGTCATAGGTCACAGAGCGTCAAAACGAGGTAGGAAGTATTGATTGGTATCTGTGTACTGTAGCAGGTCATAGGTCATAGAGCGTCAAAACGAGGTAGGAGGTATTGATTGGTATCTGTGTACTGTAGCAGGTCATAGAGTGTCAAAACGAGGTAGGAGAAATTGGTATCTGTGTACTGTAGCAGGTCATATACAGCGTCAAGGCGCGGGGGAGGAGCGTGTGTCTGTCTGTCTGTCTGTCTGTGTGTTCACAAATTGTTGTTTGTGTGTCTGCTGACTTGGATCATGATACTACTATGTTCTGTTTTAGTGATACTTTCTAAGTGCAATCTGTTCCTCTTTTTCCCACATTTTATGTACTTCGGCAGCATCGTATGTTCCCCATTATCAGGTTAGACTTTTATGCA